AAATACATGTTACTTAAATGTATATTTAATTTTCAATAATATTCTTGGCTTAATGCTAAAATGTTAATGTTAGAAAACTACTTTGATTTAGATATCAAATTCCTATAGTGCTTTGTAAGCACTTGATTAATAACACACATTTTGAAAGATCGTCTCCATGCACAGGTTAGATTGGCCTAGAACTTGTGGCCCAGGCTGATCTCAAATATATAATTCTCCTTATTATGTCTCTCTAGGTCTGATGTCTGAGATTAAAGATATGATTCCGACGTCTTGACATGATGTTTTATTTATTTATTTATTTATTTATTTATTTATTTTTCTGTTTCTTGTACTTTACACTTAATGCTGGCTTTATAATTTACTTCTCATATGTCCTTTCAGAGTTCACCAACCTGAAGTCCAGATATGTTCTGTGAAATATGTTATTGCTTCTGATTTTCATTCATACCCAAATATCTTTTTCTCTGTATAGCTTCAATATCTGGTGCCGTGGTCTATTGATCTCTGTAAAATTATTGCTTGATTTAAGATGACAGTGTTCTTTTCTGGAGAAAAATTTTAGTGTTGACTATGTCAGGAAGACTATTTTCACCCCTTTCCAATACTGCTAATTTGTAAATAATCTTATAAAATGCGTTATGTAATAAAAACTCTTGGAAATTATTGGTCTACAACAAAGAATTTTGATAAAAAAGTCAAGTTTGTTTTCTTCCTATTCTATTTCCCACAATTTATCATCTTGTTTCAGTTCCCTGAGTTGTGCAGATGACACTTGTTTGTTTCTGCAGGATGTAACATTGCTTGAGTGTTAAGATTTTCTCATCTCAATCTTAATGTTCTTCAGGATTTTCATAGAATGAATTCTGGGCTGCACTTTTTTAAGTTGAGAACCTGGAGTACAATGTTGGTGGCACTGTTCATCGTCCTCTATTAAGTTTAGTTTTAAAAATAGGATAACATGAACAAATTTAACCTCCATTCTCTCTCTGTGTCTTTTTTTCTCCATCATTTCTTTCTTTTATCGATTTTGTTTTACTCTAAGTCCTTTGGTTGTGATTTTTGAACATAATTTATCACTTCCATAGTATTGTTAATCTTAGATAGCTTCCTAACATTCTGTAAAACAAACTGATTTAAAAGTAGTGTGGATTTTAAACCAAAGTTGTCATTAGCGTGTCTAAGAGATTTCTGTTTGCATGTTGTAAGATGATATCATTCAGTGATTGCTCATACTCCCCATTTGTTATTTTTGCCTGTTGATTGACACCAGCTACTCACATATACTGCCCATGCACTTTCTTCGATATTTGCTGCTTTGCATAGACTCCTCCAACTCAGTCCAACCACCTCAAATTTATAAACCAAGCCTTTCCAGTGAGAACTGACAGTCAGGGGGATCAACATGGTGTCACAAACCCAGGTTTTCCTGTGCCTGCTGCTCTGGGTGTCTGGTGAGAAATTAAAAAATATTATAATCTTTTTAGAGTCACTTCTTTGTATATAAGATATTTACAATGTGTGTCATGATAGAATTTGTCTTACACAATAATACTCTAAAAATATGATATTACAAAGATATTAAATTCATTTTTTATATTATGCATCATCGTTATTATTGCTGATTGCAGGTGCCTGTGCAGATATTGTGATGACCCAGTCTCCATCCTTCTTGGCTGTGTCAGCAGGAGAGAAGGTCACCATCAGCTGCAAGTCCAGTCAGAGTCTTTTATACAGTGGCAATAACTACTTGATTTGGTACCAGCAGAAACCAGGGAAGGCTCCTAAACAATTGATCTTCTATGCATCCACTCAGGAAACTGGGGTCCCTGATCACTTCACAGGAAGTGGATCTGGGACAGATTTCACTTTCACCATCAGCAGTGTCCAGACTGAAGATCTGGCAGATTATTACTGTCAGCAGCACCACAGATTTCCTCCCACAGTGCTTCAGCCTCCAACAAAATCCTCCCTGAGATTCTCACCATCTGGCTGCACCACACAGTCGTGGACCTGAATATGTTCCCATGCTGACTGAGACTATGTGTTCAAACAGTAGTGAAAAAGTTTGAAGAGTCCACTAAAAATAATGTTTTAATTCCTCTCATGGTTTTAGATATTAACTAACTTTTAAATGAAAATGTAAATAAGATTTCAGCATTATCTTTCTATTTCTTCTGTAACACATTAACAAAAGCTCTGCAGCTTGAATATGTGGGGTTTATTTTTATAATTCTAGTATTTCAGTGTCCAACATAAGACTATATGTGCAGAAGTAATAATGATGGTAGCAGTTTGGAGGTTCTAGGAAAAACGTTTATTGCTCTTTTACTGAATTCTGTGGTACTTTCTTATTTCCTTTCTGGTGTCCATTTTTTTCTGTTTTTTTTTTTCTTTCCCTTTCCATAAATTATTTACTTTTTATTACATTTTAGTTAATAAAGTAGTCTTTTCTGTGTCCTTGTGAGTATGGATTTGTTTGTCTGTGTGTATGTGTGGGCATGTTTGTAGGTACTCGTTTGACATGGCATCAGAGAACACTTGCACTATATTGATTGCAGAGGGCCATCAAAATTCTACAAACACCATAAACAAAGCCAGCACTCAAAACCACAAGAGTGAGGTTTATGTGGTAAAAAGATCCATTCTAAGACAATACCATCCCTCTGCAATAAAATTCCTGTAGGAGAAATTCTGGAAGGCAATATAGCTAGAATACAATTAAGATTTGGATTCACCCTATCCACATGTGCCTCCTGTAATTTCTCCTCAACAACTGCCGATTCCTTTTCTGCTTCAGCCTCTGATTGTCTGGGACTATTCAAGTCTTTATCACCATCTAAAGTTTGGTTTAAATGAATTATAAGATTCAGTGTTATCTGAACAACTGGTTGTAGACTGAAAATGTCTCCTAATAATCTTTGAAAGTCATTTAAAAAAAGTTCTCTCTTAATTTATGCCTTTTGTGATCTAATTTTCTGGATTCTAGGTAATTAATAGAATCTCCTCTTTGAATCTTTTCATGAGCAAATTGTAATCCTCAGTTAGGCAAGACTTTCTTTACTTCTTCAAACATCTTTCTAAAGTATCTGTTTTCAAATTAATAACAAGATGTCATCCATAAAATGGTAGATTATAGACCTAGGAAATTGCTTACATATTATTTCCAATGGCTGGCTGACAAAGTATTGACACAGGGTTGTGATATTGAGCATTCCCTGTGGGAGTTCAGTCCATAGATATCCTCTAGTAGGCTGAAATTATTATAAGTAGGAACTGTGAAGGCAAACTTTTCTCTATTCTTTCTAGTAAAGGTATAGTGAAGAAACAATCCTTTAAATCAATAATTATGGGGGTCCATCCCTTTGGTAACAGAGAAGGCAGAGGAATTCCAGATTGTACAGGGCCCATAGGTTGAATAATCTTATTGATAGCCCTTAGATCTGTAACCATTCTCCATTTTCCAGATTTCTTTTTAACACAAATAAAAGAGAATTCCAGCGGCTGGTAGATTCTTCTATATATCAAGCATCTAGTTGCTCTTGTACCAGCTGTTCTAAAGCCTGCAACTTTTCCTCAGCTAGAGGCCACTGCTTAACACATATTTGTTTCTCAGTTAACTATTTTTCTTCTCTTCTTTATTTTTATTCAAAATATTTATTTTATTTTTTTTTATTATTTAATTAAAAATTTCCACCTTCTCCCATTTCCCTCCCACTCCGGCCACCCCCCTTACCATCCCTCTCCAGTTCAAAAAGCAGTCAGGGTTCCCTGCCCTGTGGGAAGTCCAAGGTCATCCCCCCTCCATCCAGGTCTAGGAATGTGAGCATCCAAACTGACTAGGCTCCCACAAAGTCATTACATGCAGTAGGTTCAAAACCCAGTGCCATTGTCCTTGGCTTCTCAGTTAGCCCCCCTTGTCAGCCAAAAAGGCAACCTACTGATGGAGAGAAGATCTTCACCAACCCCACAACAGACAAAGGTCTGAATTCCAAAATATATAAAGAACTTAGGAAACTAGATCTTAAAATGCTAATTAACCCAATTAAAAAAATGTGGTACTGAACTGAACAGAGAATTCTCAAAAGAAGAAGTTCCAGTGGCCAAAAGACAGTTAAGGTCATTCTCAACCTCCTTAGCGATCAGGTAAGTGCAAATCAAAACAACTTTGAGATACTATCTTACACCTCTCAGAAAGGCTAAAATCAAAAACACCAATGATAGCCTTTTCTGGGGAAGATGTGGACTAAGAGGAACACTCATCCATTGCTGATGGGAATGCAAAATTGTGCAACCATTTTGGAAATCAGTGTGGTGGTTTCTTAGGAAATTCGGGATCAACCTACCCCAGGATCCAGCAATACCACCCTTGGGAATATCACCCAAGAGATGCTCTATCATACTATAAAAGTATTTGTTCAACTGTGTTCATAACAGTATTATTTGTAATAGCCAGAACCTGGAAACATTGCCTAGATGCCTCTCAATGGAAGAATGGATAAATAAAGTGTGGAATATGTACGCATTAGAGTACTACTCAGTGGAAAAAAATGACATCTTGAATTTTGCATGCAATGGATGGAAATAGACAACACTATCCTAAGTAAGATAACCCAGACCCAAAAAGATGAATATGGTATGTAGTCACTCATAAGTGGATTCTAGCCATTAATAAAGGACATTTAGCCTCTAATTTGTGATCCTAGAGAAGCTAAATAAGAAGGTGAACCCAAAGAAAAACATATAGTCATCCTCCTGGATATGGGAAGTAGACAAGATTGCCTGGCAAAAACTGGGAACTTGGGATTGGGGTGGGATGGGGGTAAGGAGTAAATGTGGAGAGAAAAGTGAGAAGGGGAGGATGGGGGATCTTGGGGGAATGGGATGGTTGGGATAAAAGAAGGGTGGATATGGGAGCAGGGAAGTATATATCCTAATTAAGGGATCTCAATAAAACAGAAGAAATAATATCCTGAATCAATTTCATAGTAGATGAAATAGTATTAGAATATCACTATATAAGAAATGAGATATCTGGATGGAGGGAGTCACTACTGGGTTAGGGAGAAATGTGGTGCTAGAAAAATTCCATAGAATCCACACGCATGACCCCAGCTAAGACTCTGAGCAATAATAGCATGACTTATGAGCTCAATGCCTGTAATCTGAGCAGGTGGTGTCTGTTTCATTTCCTCAGGTTCTCACCTGTTACAGTCAAGGTGTTATCAAGGCTACGTTCTTGTTTGGATACTCAGAAGCATCTCATTGTAAGACAGCTATGGTTGTTGGAAAAAAAAAAAAAAAAAACTTTTCCTTTTTTTTAAATTTGGTCTCACTAAGTTTCCCAAAATTGCCTTGACTTTTCCAAGGTCCTGACTCAGTCACTCCTGTGCCAGGGTGGACACATAATCCACCCTGTCCAATAACTGCCTCATTTCCTGATGGAATATGCAGTAAATGGATGTAAATGGTTTCAAGACAACTATTAATAAGTCTGGACCAGAAGTTGGTTGAATTTCAAATCTATAGAAAGAAAAGTAAGTATTGTATTCTTATATGGAATGAGTCTTTCTGAAAAAAATATATTCACAAATATATCCACAGATAAAAATATATACATGTATGTAATTT